ACACGCTTCAGTGAGGTGGAGTGTCTGGCGGAGTCACACCAGCACCTCAGTAAAGAGTCCATGTCAGGAAACAAGCCTGCTAATGCAGTTCTACACAAAGGTACAATAATTCCCATAACTCTATACTGCACAGAATAAATTACCACACAGCTTTGGACACACTTTTGCAATGCAGAAGTGTAATAAAAACATAAATAAATTAAAAACAAAATAACTCCATTATGTCTAGTTGCCGGGACAAAAACTACTCACAGATACATTATCATTTCTTTCAAAGTTAAAAGATGATCAGAATTTTTTTTAATGAATTTTTAATCTAAATTGAATTGAAATTGAACTGAATTTGAATGCAAATTAAATGTTAATCTAAACCAAATTGAATATGAATCCAGTTTGAAAGTCCAGGTGTCATTCGTTCATTTGTTTTTCAATATAAAACCAAATCAAAAAACAGTTTTGTCAATTTTCGTGACACATCAACATTATATTTTCTTAATTGTTGTTAAACAACCAGAGATAACCTAGTAAATTAATTCTAAGTCTCAATGTAGTGTTTTTTTGACTAGGCTAGATTTGACAATAGATACTACAATAGTTACAGAGGCCTGGTGGATTTATGCATTGTGATTTTTGTACGTATTGCGTTTATTTACATAGCTATAATTGCATAATACTATAAAATAAATGTTTTAAAATAATTTGAACATAGCAACATAAAATCATTAAAAAATTAAATTATACATTAAATATGAAAGTAAAATGGCCAAAGCTTCTAACAGCTTAGAACAGTGTTTCCAGCACAGCACTGCTCAAAGCCACAAAACTTCACACTTAGTATCTCAGCATAGTTTTAACACATTTGGCTTGCTTATTGCATCCTGTAGCTGTATTAATGTTGTATAAAGCCAAAAATGAATGCATTTACTTAAATCTATCTTACCTCAAATTGTTCTGTCAGTTCTTAAACAACTGGAGGAGCTTCTCAGCGACATGAAGGCAGATGTCACCCGGCTCCCGGCAACCATTGCTCGGATACCGCCCGTCGCTGTGCGGCTGCAGATGTCAGAAAGAAGCATCCTTAGCCGGCTGGCCAGCCGAGGACCGGAGGTCACACAGACGCAGGCGCCACGCTGATGACTCCTTGATGAATTTTTCACTCGTACCTCCCATAAGTCACGGGATGAGGAATCATCTCGCACACATACAGACATGCACCTGGGTCAGGGGATCAGATGCATTGTATATATCTGAAATAAGTTCCAGCTGCCTACACTAGTTTGGACGGAAGGAGAGTGGAGCGGTTCCTAGCTAACACACTGTGGTTCCCTAACATTTAAGCTCAATTTAGAGGCATTCCAACCCACATACACAGCACCCAAATCATTCTCCAGTATATATCCAGTCGAGGTTTTCCAGATCACCTCCTCTGCACTGTTGTAGTCAAAGCAGGGCAAGGTTGAAGAGCTGGTGTGGTTTTCTGCTTTGCGTGGAATGGATCTTTGCCAGTGGGGACTCTTTCCTCCTCAGGTGTGTTTTATGTTGTAATTCACACTAGTTATTTCGCTATTTTTCTGAGTTTCCACAATTATGCTCCAAGCTTGAAATGTAACATCATGTAGTTTCCAACTTCTTGTACTGTAAGTACTGTCAAGCAGCAGTTGGAAGCCTAGTGAAAAGTTTATGCTGATATAAACACAGTACCTGTCCCCAATGCCGAGTCCACACTTTGGTGACATATTGCCGAATAGACTGCCAGGTAATACTCCACTGATGCAGGCTGTGCAGAATTACCCTTCTTAAACACATAGGCACTCTTCAGAAATCTAAAATGTCAAATGGACTTCACAAATGCATTTGTGACAGGGTCAGAACTTCTATAAGGTCATCAAATTACCTTCCATTCCGTTAGATTAAATATATATTATAACCAAGATTTGTTTTACATTATGAGAACTACTGCTTTAAGAAAAGTCAAGCTCTATGTTCACAATTGTTTATTAATATTTCTGTGCTTGTTAAAAAAATCCACATTTATTCCCCATTCTCTCTCCTGATTGGCTTGTGTATAATGTAACTAGAGAATAAGTGCAAGTTTCTTTTTCCTATAAGAGAAGAGAAAATCCCCCTAGCACAGGTGAAAAAAACTCACACTTTCAGAAGGTTTGAATATCTCACTTTGTAATTATCGTTGTTACCCTGTTATTGTTGTTATGTCTTATGTTTCTATCTGTTTTTTTTTTTTCAGACCTGCAATAAAAAGTTAAAGCGTGCAGCGTTTTCTCTGTTTATTTAGGTGTAGTTTAAGTTATATATATAAAGTTGGTTTTCTGACCACTGATCTCTATTATAAATCAGTGTTTCTGACACGTTTATAAGCCTGGTGTTGGATTAAATTTGATGGTGGTTCTGCTGAAATATTGCTCTGTAACTAGACTTAGGAAAACCATCATCACTTTTTTCTTCAACGCGGAAGTAAGCTTATGGGTGAGACTTCCGGTTCATTAGCCGCTATAGGTAAATAACGAGGAGAATAACAACGTGCAGTAAACGGTAAAACTTTGCACTACAAACCAGTGAGTTCATAATTAAGATAATACATTAAAATAATATGATAAGACACCAACTTTCAATATCAAGCAGCAAAACAAACTGTTTTGCTCAGCTAAAAATAGCTGGACGGAGTGGACGCAGATGAGACCGGAAGCCAGACCCATAGAATTTACAAATGGCCGCGCCCATTTTTACAACAAGAAAAAGGTGGATACATTTCCTTGTTAATTGAATATTTCAGCTAATTTTTCTTTTGATTTTTAGCTACATTTCAGCTTTTTTTTTGTGATTATGCACGTTTTTAATACATTTAACCTTGTTTTAGTTCATTATTAATTCCCTAAAATCAAGTTCATGGATTCCATTTGGATCTTCAAACGTGTTCTGCAGATGGTATACACAAGTAGCAAAAATGTAGTCTCCTATACAGACCAGTTTGTAAGACATACAGAACCATATGAATCACAGAACTGTGTGTGTGCAAGGTATTTTTGAATTTGAATCAGATTGGGAAAAAATTCAAGGGTTTGGCCATTCATTTGTTGTTACACAACTCCTTTCAACAGTACCGAAATTTCATTTGGATCAAGTTCAGTCGAATTGAGGTGTTGCATGGAAGCTTCTCAATCTGATTAAGACATCAATCCATTTATAAACTGATTAGTTTCCATGTAAACATAGCGATCATATTGAGAGATTACTTGGAGGGGAGAACAGCAGAGGATGGTGCAGAGAGAGAAGTTAATAGATGACAAAAAGCAGGATGGGGAAATTGTCAATTAACGAAAATGGCAGGGTGGAGGCAGACAACTTATCAGAGCAAATGCTTTGGGCAGAGAAGATTTGCAAAGAGATGCACAAGTCAAGATTAGTTAGTCAAGTCTTCTCTTTGTTGTTAAATCAATCTGCATTGCACATTTACAGTGTTTGATCCATTCCATTCAAGTGCAGAACTGGACATCGGATAACTGTGTGTGTGTGTGTGTGTGTGTGTGTACAACGTATTGAAGAGAAGAGGACAAAAGCATGTCGCGTGGGTAAGGGACTTCAAACAATACTTGTAAATCACCAAAAAACATGCCTTTACCATGGTACTTACTTTGTCAGTTTAGATTAAATTGAGATGGTTGATCTTTGAATTATTTTTAGAAACATATTTGCCATTTTTTAGAAGATGCTCCAACATTCTAGATCCAGTCTGCTGGTTGAAACCTCTCTTTGCAGTCATATTTTCATGGGCTTCCTGTTGCTGCCAGGATCAGATTCAAAACAGCTTTTATGTTCAGCAGTGCTATCTGCCTTTCTGTGCTCCAAATTATAATCCAACCAACCATATTCAGCCCAGACTCTATATGATCACCTGTCAAATGGCAAGGTGTTTCTAGAAATGTGTGTTTAGGATTGAGGATATTTGATCTTCAACTTTCTTACTGAACACACACCTTCACCACTGACATCTTTTCTAAATATCTTTTATCTGTCTGTGTATCTGTAAATATGGTTCCATGTTACCAGTAACTTTAGGAACAGTCACTTAGAGAAGCTTTTGAAAAACATTTTGTTATGTGGTATCATGAAATTGGATCCTGGACTTTACATGTATTCAAATATTATAGTTGCGACCTAGAGACTAGAGGGCTAGATATTTGCAAGGCAAAAATTATTCCCCTTTCTGGATGGATGTATTAGCTTAACATGTGTTAAACTGTGTCAGGCAAAAGTTTTAACCATATAAAAAACATTTTTTTTGAGCAGCAAATCAGCATATTAGAATGATTTCTGAAGGATCATGTGACACTGAAGACTGGAGTAATGATGCTAAAAATCAGCTTTGAAATCACAGGAATAAATTACATTTTAAAATATATTCAAATAGAAAGCTGTTATTTTAAATAGTAAATTTATTTTATTTATATAATATTTCACAATATTACTGATTTTGCTGTATTTTGGATTAAATAAATGCAAGCTTGTTGAGCAGAAGAGAATTCTTTAAAAAACATAAAAAATCTTACTGTTCAAAAACGTTTGACTGGTAGTATATATATATATATATATATATATATATAAATGCACATCAAATCAAATATGCACAAGAGACCTCTGTTAAAAGCATTAAAGAATCTCATGACCCCAATTTTTTGAATGTTAGTGTGAAGCAGGATTATTATAGTTAAATAACAATAAGACTAAAACCTTGTTTTTTTTTTAGCCATGTGTTGCATTATGGCAGGTAAGGTTTTACATATGTATCTTAGGCCATTTTGGTGTAGTAATAATAATAATGTAAATTATGCAATTAACAGCCCATAACATATGTCAGGTATGTGCGTCCTCGTGTTTATTTCTGTGTGTTTGTGTTAGTGAGAGAGGGAGGTCTGGAAACAAGGAAGTGCAATGTACAACTAAACAAAATGGACTTTAACTGTTAGCCTCAATGACACCTGGCCTGTGAAATCAACCTGCGAGGAAAAAGGCATAAAAGAAGAAAAACAGGGAGCAAAAGAAAGATTAAGTTAATTCAGAAAGCCATTGGAGAGAAGAAGCAATAAGAGGTCATTTGCATTTCATTGTCATTGTTATTTTGCACTATACCTGTAGTTCCTCTATTTGACTAGTTTGTAGTTTCAAAGGCTGAGCTGGATGTTTGTCTGATAATGTCTGATAATTAGTTATTGACAAAAAGAACTTAAAGGAACAGAAATTCATCTGACATCTCTGTATCTGTCTATACCTCTCTTGTTTGCTTTCACTGTTTTATGAAAAAGCCACAAAAAGGAAGGAAGAAGTTTGTAACAGTGCGTGAGAGAGTGAGAGAGGGAGGGACATACGACAGGCTTATATACACTGTCAGGACGACCTGCTCTTCAAAGCACCGAAAACTGTTTACATTTCGAGAGAGAAGGAGAGGCAAAGCGGGCAGGTATGAAGCCGCTAGACAAATGATTATGGGCTGTGGTTGGTTGTGTGGAGGAATGTCACTGCACTGGTTATAGAAAGAGAGAGGCAAATGGGAAAAGTAGAGGATGAGTGCTGACGTATGACACGAAGAGAAGAAGTCTTTACTGCTCTGGATTATTGTGTATGCCTATATCATATCTAATACAATATTAATGTGCATTCAATTCTTTTTCCTTTTGACGGGAAGAGGAACATTTAAAAAAGGAAGATGGTCCGGTAAGTTGAGACAGACTTTGCACTTGTTCTCTTGTTCCAATCTTGTTCAACTCCTCATCTTCCCCTTTTCAGTTTTGCTACTCTTATGTTTTGCACCACAGACTCTTATTTGTGAGTCTTGCCATGTGTTTTTAAAAAGGCATTTGTGTGTGTGTGTGTGAGCATAACTGCAATGTGCAAGGTGTATTTATATGCTGATGCATGTCTGGCTGCATGTGTATGTGCATTTCTGCAAATGCACTTGGTGGTTTGGTAGGCCTTGGTAGAGTGTACTTGTTTTTGCATGTGCTTCACCATAACACACACACACACACACACACACACACACACACACACACACACATATTTTACCCTCTGTACCTATAAAGTAAAGTATTTGGACACTTTTTTTAAATGCATGAATATATTTGCATTACATAACGAAATTCAAAATCATTTAGATCAATGTGCAAACAAATTATGCTAGAGATTTTCTCAAAACTTTTTTATTTATTTATTTTTTTTAGGTTTTCTGAGCCATTTTTGCAGTTAAATTTAAACGTGTCAAGATGTGGATGTTTTAAGTCAGTTCCCCTCGAGTTCAGACAGGTGTTCTAACCACAGGTGTAGTTCGTCATATTAACTATGCATGTGTTACACTAATATTGCACTACACTGCTACAAATTGTGCAAATATTTTGTCTTTTTTTAACAACATATTGCTTTTTATCATTTAAAACCTAATACATTTCTTTTTGTGAAATATTTGGCTTGCGTCCAGTTAAGTTGTCCACAAACAGTATGTTGTGCCATTCATGTGAAACCACTCTATTACATTATCATCTCTAGCATGTCTGACTCTAACATAGGCTCATTTACATGTTGAACAGGTGGTTCCACAGAGATCTGTCTGGAATAGACGCAGAGTCCGTTTTGAAGACCCGAGGTGTCCATGGCAGCTTCCTGGCCCGACCCAGCAAGAAGAATGTGGGCGATTTCTCCCTGTCTGTTAGGTACAGCACTTTCGGTTTGATATGATAAAAATATCTATCTTCAGCCACTTTTTATGTCATTTGGAGAAAATTTGGTTCTTAGGATAAGCTGAGGTCAGATTGGGTGATAGATAGCCTTCATAGCTTTCCGTTACTTTCTGCTCTAGTAAAAGGAAGCCTTTCTGTGTTGGCTAAAAAGCATAAAACTCTTTTTATTTACTGAATGTTTCTGTATTTGACTGGTTTGAGCTTTTGTCTTTGTTACTCTGTTTTGTTTGACGTGTTTAGTTCTAGAGCTTGTCAAGTAACATTTATATACTTCCCTACAAACCAATTATTACTTTTTTATTACACTTTTTTTTGGAATAGATGGCAAGCCGCTTTTCTTTTCACCAGACAGACATCGCGCACAATTTGGGAATAACTATTTCATTATAAGCTGTGATAATTTGGTTCTGTATTTATATAATATGCATCACCTTTTCTTTCTTTTCAGAAGCTTTGTGTGAGTTGTGGTTTTCTGACCTATAAAAATATTAATGGACATATGTTTTCAAGCAAATGTTTTTTGTTTTTATTTTCTTCTTTTTTCTTTTACTCATTATCTGCCAAGCAACTGTCATTTCAGTTTAGTTCACTTCACATAACAATGCAATAATTCACACATTTGTCTATATGTGTTTTTATTCATTTTCATAGACTGTAAAACCTAATTTGCTTGTTTTGCATATAGACTATCAAATATGCTCCGGACATAAAATAGCTTTATTTCTCTTTGATCTACTTAATATAAAAAGTGTCTGCTTAATAACGGAAAACATCAATAGGCTGATTTGTATAATTGCATGTGATGTATGACTTGGATGTTGTCACGCAACTATTTGATGTTACTAAATGCCAGTGTAATGTCAGTTCATTTTTTTAAAGGGCAAAGATCAGTGTCAACAGCTCAAAATTGGCACATGTAGTGCCGTATGATTCTGACCATTATATTTAATTTGTTTTATTCTGAAATGTTGTCTATACTTGCAGTTCATAACAATGGTATATTTTCTGGGTGTAGCCTGGAAACTAATCATACTTTTTTCAGTTTTGATATTTGCAAATCAACTGTGTTTGTATGGTTTTGTTGCCATCTTCATTTAATTATTTTGTAGTTTAGTAAACCTTTATTTAGGGGTAAATTACAACATTAACAACAATAATTGAAATCAACGGTTACTAACATTCTAATTTAGAGTAAAATTCTTTTTCAGATTTTATGTACAAGCTTTTAAGCTTTTAATTAATAGGATATTATAAAGCTGAAAAAATGAAGGGAGAGAGGAAGTGAATGGGAATGACTGGGCTCAGATTTGAACCTGCATTCCCACGAGTCCTCCATTTATATGTTACTGTGTCCTCTTTACTGCGCCACATATCTGGTGTGTTGTTTAGTCTGGTTCCAAACCCCGTAACCAAATCTAGTTTGCTGGCATACTTGAACACAGCTATTTTTGGAGAGCATAATGACTTGTTCTCAGGAAGACACACTTGCAAGGATGAATATGTGTAATCAGTATCTATGATGGAAAATATTACTGCCATCGTTTGTGAAAAAGACTTCAGGTCAAGTAATTACCTCACACTCATGTAGAGTTTCTACATACTTTGTGAAGTTACTATTACTCCATTTCCTGTGACATTATGTTCTCTTTAAACCAGTTTATGTTTGGGGACCTGGATTAATTATTATAATTAAATTGTATTATAATTAAATTTTACTGAACATGATGCATCATCAGTCCTCTTTTCTTCTCTTCCTCTATCTCTCAGAGTGGGAGAAATAGTCACACACATTAGGATTCAGAACACGGGTGATTATTACGACCTGTACGGTGGGGAGAAGTTTGCGACTTTGGCCGAGTTGGTAGAATACTACACTGGAGATCATGGAACTCTACAGGATAAAGATGGGACCGTTATTGAGCTCAAATACCCTTTAAACTGTTCTGATCCCACCACTGAGAGGTAAGCCATAATATTTGACCCTTCATCCTGAAGATGTACAGATGTATTTACAAAATAGCTAATACAAGCAGTTTTATTTGACTTCAGTTTGATCTAATTTGTTTGTGAGACTCTTATATACCATATTTCAAAGGTTTCTGTGACATTATTACCAGTACAGGTTTTTAGGATGAGTTTCATCTGTGTTTGCTGTCCTTGTCTATGCATAGTTATATCCACTTTCTCAATCATGTCAAATATTCTGATTATGATGTTTGCATAGGTTGCGTATGGAACTATTCCATTTCAACTATTCCACTCTGTTTGCTTTTGCTACACCATATCCCAATTAATGAGGGCCCCCAAACACAGATACATAGAAACACATACACATTATATTCATGCTTGTTTATACTGCTTACTGATATTGATTATATTGCCACAATGAATGACATCAATCATTGTTGTTGCATTCATGCTGTTTCAGTTGGTTTTACAGTTAGGTTGTTATTTTATTCATATCAGCTGGAAGGTGAAAAAAAAAGCGAAAAACTCAAAAGGTCATAATGTGGCATTTCCAGGTCTCATATTATGCTACTTCACTGTTTGAAGTTAAACTTAACGCAGATAAGCGCCATTTGAGTATTTGGAAAATCCTGCTTGCAAATTTATATTTAGTCTGCTGCTGTAGTGGATACAATAGTCAAATTGTCCATGTAAACATAGCCACAATATTTTGGACATGGAAAATCTTTTGACTCATAAGGCTAAGAATTTACATTTATTTTACTGTTGTTGATAGCTTATCGGTAAAGAAAGTTTTTCCTTTTTGAGAGTGTTCAGGCATTTTGTAGATTTAGCAGTGGTATTTTATGTAAATGTATCTGTTCAAATACTGTTATGCTAACTGAGAGCCTCAACTTTTATTTGTGGCAGATAAATGCTACTCAAGCTACACAGCAAGCTAACAAAAAGTGGTTAACTACAGAGCTTCAATGTACTGTGATTAGTTTTTGCTACTAGCTAGTGTGGCTAACTAGAGAGCTAATAGTTCATAGTGTAGCTAAGCTACAAACAAACAAACAAAACAAAACAAGTTAACTACATTGAATATAGGCCTAGTTAGTTAGACACAAGTAACTTTCCCAACACTGGTCGCTATGCCAAAAGGTTAATGGCAAATTAATGGTAAAAGTTGTTACTGACTGTAATACTGCCACAGTAAAATTGTGCACACAAAATGTCACCTCAGAGGACTTTCCGTCCCTGCTGTTGGTGTACTGATTTTGTAAAAGCATTTTGTTAGCAGCACATGATCAGTCATTTTATCACACATTGGAATTCTTCCACATTCTACTTTCAATTACGTCAGAAACTGAGGAACAAAACTTGATACAAATCTCCAAAATTCTTTCCACCACTACTGTTAATCTTATCAAATAAAGAGTAAAACCAAACAGCAGCAGATTAATTTAGTTCAGCAAGAGATATGTTAATGTGATCAGCAAGTATAAATCATTTAAGATGGTCTCTTTGCTTTATGATTACACCAAATGCACATTCTTGTCATGTAAATCAGTCTGCTACTACATCAGCATGGCTAATCATAAACTTTTTAACATGCCTAATATAAGATAGACATCCCTTTAGTTAACCATACTTGCATTTAGGTTTGTGAATGTTGGCTGTAATAATAAGGAATGAAAAATGCATGTTATGCACGGATATTTCGGACTTCATTCATTTTTTCTCTATCAGTTTCCCTTCTTTGTCTGCACACAATGTCTGTATGGTGCAAAAGAAAAAAACTTAACACATATAAGTGTGAACTATTTCAGATTTATTTGTATAGGTAATCTAATGCAGGAAAAAATGAACAATAATTCACTAAAATTAAGACTGTCTAAACAAAAATGCACTAAAGCTGATTAAACTAATGATTAATCTAATGATTAATGCACTGTAAGTTAAAGTTAAGTAAGTTTGTAGTAATTATGAATAATAAATAATTTAATCATTTTTAGAAGACAATAATTATAAATTAAAGTGCATATGTCTGAGACTGCTAGTACAAATGTCTATTTTGCATTATTTCATGTAATTACTTTTTTCAGTTACAAATTATTATATTATATTATATTATATTATATTATTATCTGCATTTTGAGTAAAATGTTGAATTGAATTTCAGTACATCTTAATATTTGGTTTGTGACTTTTACCCAAGTTGCATGAGCTCCACAAGTTTGTGTAAAACCTGATGATCATGTCCACAATGATCAATAGAAGCAAAAGCATCTGATGATCAGTGTCATGAATTTGCTTATTTGATTAGTGACTTAGAAATAGTGCAGTCTTGAAAATTTCTTATTCGTTTTATGCTAAAAAAATATGGTGTGTTGTTAAGTTTTTAAAATCCTGTTTATTTTCAGGTGTACGTAAAATCTTGAATCCCAGATTTCAGTGTGGCCTTTTGGATCCCAAAGCTTCACCATCTTGGTCACTGAGTTTTTTATTTCATTTTGATGCACCTTGAATTGCAGACACACTCCACCCCTCCCTCTGCCATGTGTCTGACTTCCTCTTCTCAACTGCGGTTGGAAACTTTAGTTTTGACACATTTGCAAACAGTGACCAGACCCATTCAGGCCTTCCGTCATCTCTCCCCTGTCTTTCTTAGCTCTTTGTCCTACACACTTCTGTCTATCTCTTTCTCTTTTTTTGGTCATGCTCATGATGAGCTGCTTGATGGGTGTTGTTTAACGGACAGAGAACCTAAAGTATGCAAACTGAAGTCACAGGCAAACTCAGTGTGACATTTTTGTCCCATAAAAGTGTTACAGTGGCTTACTTTGTTTACGTGTTACCAACTGCCCCAGAGTGTGTTTTTTGTCATGGTTTTAACACCATAGAACTTTCTGGAACATTCTTTCTGGTATTTTCTAGAATTTAGAGATATTTAATGAGAAAGTTATCGCGGAAAAAAACAAACCATTCTGTCATAATTTACTCTCCCTAATGTCAGTCCAAACCTGTATTACTTACTTTCTTCTGCGTAACAAAAAAGATGTTTTCTGAAATCTTTCAACTGTTTTTGGCCATACTGTGAAAGTCACTGGGGTCCAGAACAACTGACTTTCATTGAAAGAGTGAATGCTTACATTTAAAGCAACTTAAATGTAGAACATGGTCACCAGAGACTTACACATAAGAGTTTCTATGTTGAAAGAAACTTATGTTCTCAAGTCTATCACGCAAGTTATGATACCTTGGAATAGAATTTGCAATGACAGATAGTGTAATGTATATAGATTTGACATTCATATAAAATATTGTTTAATGAGCCTGTAACTTTGATCCCAAGACCAGTCTAAAATTGAAAACATAAAAGAGCAAGAATAAAAAGAATAAAAATCTAAAAAGATTGAGATGCACTGAAAATATTGCTGATTGTTGATGATTAGAAACACAAAGATGTCTGATTGCATGACATGGTGTCTTAACAATAAGACAGTTGTCCAGCTGATATGTGTTCCAGTCACATATGCTTAACTTTTGGTCATATGGATATGTTTAGTAAAGACAGAGAACTTAAGATTTGCATTAACAAGATGTAGTCAGCTAAAAATATAAATTACACTATTATAAATGCAGGGGTGACTCCACCTTTTGGTAGCTGCCCCAGTCTCTGGAATGACTTGCCTATTTCTATTAGATCTGCTCCTTCTTTCTCTCTTTCATCTGTTTTTAAGTCCAAGATAAAAACCTATCTTTTTGAGGCTTTGTTGGCATATAACAAGTGATAAAGCATCATTGCACTGTATTTTAGTATGATACTGTACTGTTTTATCAATTATTTTAGTCTGTTTTGTAGTGTGCCATTTTCTATTTAACTTGTTTTACAGCACAATTGTCAACTTTGGTTGTGTTTAATAAATGAAACTGACATTGATATTATATTAGCAATTGCTTATTTTTATTAGTGTTAACGTTGTATTTGTTATCATAAATGTTTTAAGAATATAATGATAAAGTACATGATTATTTATTTATATTTTTTACATTTATTATTATTCAGAAGCAGCAAAATCATAATTCACTGGCTGTAATTGTCAAAGAGCAATCATGGAAGAACCCCCAGAAGGGCGATTTAGCAAGCCTCTCTTTTTTTTTCTCAAGAGAAGAGAGAAGGAAGGACAAGCTAAAAATACACCAAAGTCTCGAGTCAAGAAATCTTGTCATCAGAAAATTTTCCGACCGCAGTACAGGAAGCTAAGATGTAGAAATTGAGAACTGAGCCCAATTGTTAACTAAAATTTTAGTATGCTAGAGCGTGAGGACTGCCATACTTTTGCATCAGGATCCAAAAATGGATTGCTAATAAACATATGCACACTGGAAATATAGATGTGACATAAATGTTCAGTCTCTTGTTTTTGTGTTCATGGTTGCATTGGTTTGTGGTGCAGCTGCATTTGGCTCTTCTTTTTTATTTTTAGTCCTTTAAACCTTGACAGGTTTGTTTGCGTCAGAGACCTCAATTAATTAATGTTATGCATGCAGGAAATACTATTCATATATAAATAACAAAGTACGTTTTACTACAACTTTTTACTTTTTTCTATTATGAGAACATCTAACAACTACTTTCTCCCCCTTTGTTTTTGTATCTTCAGGTGGTACCATGGCCACTTGTCAGGTCCCAATGCTGAGAAGCTGCTCCGTGAGCGTGATGAGCCTGGGACGTTCCTGGTGAGGGAGTCACTCTCCAAACCAGGAGACTTTGTTCTGTCTGTGCTCACCGATGATATGACCAGTGCTGGTAGGAGGGTCTCCCACATCAAGATCATGTGCAATGTAAGTGCTTGTGCATGTGCTCATACATGAATGTATTTTTCTATGTTCTCAATTCATTTGTATATATATATATATATAACATTTCTGTGTTGCCCCTTATCAATACAAAGTAATCACAAAATGAATAGGATTTATGCTGATTTTGTTTAAGAGTGTTTCAAAGGGCACTATTGGTCATTTAGATATAGAATAGAATAATGGATCTAGTTAAGAATGTACTTTTGTATAGATCTTAACAACTTGATCAACGACACAGTATTTAAAGGGATAGTTCACCCAAAACTGAAAAGTCTGTCATCATTTGCTCACCCTCAAATTGTTCCAAACCTTTTGTTGAATTTGTTACAAAAGAAGAGATTTTGAACAATGTGGGTAACCAAACAATCCACACTGTGGAAGTCAGTGGGGACCAACAACTGTTTGGTTACACACATTCTTTAAAATATGGTCCTTTGTGTTCAACAGAAGAAAGAAAACCATACAGGTCTGGAACATCACCTTGTAAGGTTCTATCTGCATTCTGATTGGTTTTGAGATATTGAGCTTCAAAAATTTTTGCATTCCACATACTTTGTAGATAGAACCTTTCTGCTTTCTAAATAAAAAAGTTCCAAAATGTACACAACTTTAAAAATGACATAATGTAAAGAGGTTGCCACAGAATAAGAATTTGTGAATAACTCAATTTGGGAAAAAATGTCAGATAGAAACTTATGACTCCATGGTGATGAAATAACAAAAATAAACAAATAAATAAACCTGCTTAACTGGCAATATATTTTGCACTCTGACAGATATACAGTGGGTACGGAAAGTATTCAGACCCCCTTAAATTTTTCACTCTTTGTTATATTGCAGCCATTTGCTAAAATCATTTAAGTTAATTTTTTTTCCTCATTAATGTACACTTTCCCAAAGACTCATGGCTGTATTAGATCAAATGGGTGCTTCTACTAAATACTGAGCATTTTTCAGTTTTTCTTTTTTAATAAATCTGCAAAAATGTCAACAATTCTGTGTTTTTCTGTCAATATGGGGTGCTGTGTGTACATTAATGAGGAAAAAAAATTAACTTAAATGATTTTAGCAAATGGCTGCAATATAACAAAGAGTGAAAAATTTAAGGGGGTCTGAATACTTTCCGTACCCACTGTACATATGACATTTGTACAGATTCACACAGTTTGACATACATACACATAAACATGTTTGACATACTTAAAGATAGGAACAGTAAAGCATTTAAATACATATGGTACACACATTATGACATTGATTCACATGCTTGCGCTTACCTGAAAAACGCAGCTGGACTTTGAGTCATGAGTGTGTGTGAGTAAATGGCAGCGGGGGTGGTCATGCTCCACTCAGGGCTCTAAATAAGCACTATTGTTGTGCTGTTGAAATGAATGGTAGAAGAATATCACCAAGGGAAAATCAGGTCAATGCACTGCCTGTCAATTGTTTATTATTCCACTGGTATGTGCGTATGCGCATGTGCTTTAGTGAGGTTCAAAGCAGACAAAACACCATCGTTGCGTTGTTGCCCTCTGAGCAGATTAACAGAACAAACTGTGTTCTGTGAAGACGGTTCTAATCAGCTCAGAGAACCAAACAATTCTGTTAAGGCCTTAAACCTTTTAAATCAGCCTATGCTAACCCTATTTTATCTAAGAAAATGTAAGCTCTCACCAGTGGACAGCTTCTGTTAATCTGATTTAAAGACACAGAAAGCTTTTGTGTTGCCGTTTTGGTGATGTTATTTAAAGTTTAATGAAAGAGCATTCTCACAGGTTGTACTATTCAAATACAATCCGAACGTCCATTTATGTGTTCATTTTTGATAAGGATAGCATTAGCAAATTTTCAAGCAAACCTATTCAAAATGTTTGGTTTTAAATGAAACACATGCTTTACAAGATTATGAGAACAGGTTTTTGGACATTTTCAGCACAGATGAGGCACATCCGCTTAAAATGACCTTGGCATGTTGGTCAAAAGTAAATGCAGTAATCTCAAAGGAAGTGACATTTACGAGTAAAACAAAGTATAATATGCTTTCTCACACAGTATAAATGTTTCTTTAAACAGAAAAATACATAGCTGTCTTGTTGTTTATATTTTAATAATTTTAATAACTAATTGGAGATCAATTTTGGCATCCAGTTAAGGTGCCAGTGAACCCCATGTTACCCTTGAGTATGAATCCAACTGACTGGTTAACTTTTAATTTCTTATGCATGTTGATTTTCAGAATGACCGTTACACAGTTGGTGGTAAAGACATTTTTGACACATTGGCAGACCTTGTGGAGCATTTCAAACGCTCTGGTATTGAGGAGTTGTCTGGGACAATGATTTACCTCAGACAGGTAAGGAACATTTGTAATGAGAGGTTTTTTTTTCATACCAACATAAATCATTGTTCAACAAAAGCATCAGCAACTAAGCAGCTACTGGTATTAACCACAGCACTGTGGAAACTGACTGTTAGGTTTGGTCATGTTAACTTATACATTTTGAGAAATTAAGCTGAAATGTTTCGATCTAAAACCTTTTTAAAAATGTTGTAAGAAAGCTGAAACTAAGAGCATCTGTTCTACCGAGGTAAAGAGATTTGACTGGAAAAAAAGAGTTATTTATTAGTGTGACAAAATGGCACATCACAAAGAACTGTGGGAAGCACCTTTAATGCTGTGATTAATCTTCGCCCTTTCTGTCTGTCTCTCTCCTCCTTTCTGTTGTCTGTCTCCTATTCTTTTCTGTCTGTCTGTGTTGATGTCTTGCTCTTCTCCCTGTTTGCATTTGTTTTGGTGTCTACCCTTTTCCTCAGCCTTATTACTCCACAAGGTTGAACGCAGCTGATATTGAGAGCAGAGTAAAGCAGCTCGGCCAGACCTCAGATAACATGGACGGGGCTAATAAAAAGATAAAAGCTGGGTTCTGGGAAGAGTTTGATGTGAGTGGCATGTTTAAAGGTTTTTCACCACCTGCTGTAGATGAATCACAAGTTGTTAATGCATTAGAAGCACAGCAATATTTGATGAACACATTGTGGGATTTATTTGGAAAATAACTATTTTGAAAATATTGCAGCTATGCTACTTGAAAGAAAATGAACTGAAATATTTTAATATGGAATTCCTGCTTTTCAGTCAAAATAACCTGTTTTATACTATGGACCAGCCTAAAAAATACACGATTTGAGCTAAACAAATCATATTTATGATACCATTTTTGTCAGATTTTATATTATTGAATCAACGAGAGCATCAACTTGCCTAGGAGAAACCACAATTGCAAAAACAGAAAATAAATAAATAAAATAAATGGAATGGAAAATTAAATAATATTAAAACTCTGCAGATTAGTTCATGTAAGTAAAAAAAGGTTTAGTCCCACACACGTTTTGAAAGATTTGTGTTATAGTTTTGGGTTCGCAGGCTGGAGTTAATAAGTTCACACCTCCTAACAGCAGCCTGTAGTTTCTTAGGCCACAACAGAGGCTGTATTTCCCACTCAGCATAATCCATTTTTGCCTTTGCCCCACTTTTTGATCTTTCAAAGCAGTTAGATCTTAAGAGATAATTATTTGGATTTATTTAAGAAATTAAAAAATTAAATATAGATTTTTTTGTTTGTTTTACATATTTTATTTATTACATAAAAGACAAAAAGACATGAAGTCGCAGGCATATGTTTTATTGCCATCAGTTTTTATTTTTTATTTTTTACATCATCTACATTTACATGAGCTTCTGATTAAAGTCAATTCATGCATTTTTACTGTCTTTTTTGTACTTATAACAATTGGTACGGGTTGGCAAAAAGAATTTGATCAACTGTTGCTAAAATTAGTGCGTTCGTACTAAGATGATCTCTGGTCGTAGTAAGGTTAGACCACATCCAAACAGTTGTTCAGAGCTACTCTCAACAGGCAGGATGTGGTCATTTGTACTTTCTATCTTAATTTCTCGTACTATCTGTGCTATTTCTGATCTATAAATCTGTTTTTCTGCTTGCAGGCGTTGCAGAAGTTGGAAACTAAGGTAACGAAGAACAGAGATGAAGGAATGAGACCAGAAAACAAAAGCAAAAACAGATATAAGAACATCCTTCCCTGTGAGCAATGAATCTGATCACACTGCAGTATTTCTTTGAAAAATATATAAATGAAATATAAGTTTAGTAGTGATAAGTTGCATAGATTTTGACAGTTTTTATAATAAATATTCTAATTTCTTCTCTTTTCAGTTGATGACACTAGGGTTACCCTGCAAAACGCAGATCCCAATGTTGTCGGCTCTGATTACATCAATGCCAACTATGTTATAGTACGTCCACAACATAAATCACAACATAATCATAAATCTCTCAAATTATTTCGTTAAACCCTCTCTTTTCTCTCCTCCACTCTTTCTCTATGTCTTTGCTCACAGAACAAATTAATGGATATTGATTACCAGAAAGTTTACATTGCTTGTCAAGGCTGCCTCTTAACAACTGTAAACAATTTCTGGCAAATGGTATGGCAAGAAGAGTCACGAGTAATTGTCATGACAACAAGGGAGGTTGAAAAAGGACGGGTTAGTAATTGTTGACATTCTTCCAATTTATAATGAATTCTATTTTTAATTCTATTTTTCTATTTAGTATTATTATTAGTAGAACATCTCTTGACTGTTAATGTAACATTTCAAGGTCTAAAAATATACAGTTCTTTTTTTTTGTTGCATGCGCCCTCTGCAGAATAAGTGTGTGCCATACTGGCCTACTATTGAAGGAGAGTCAAAGGAAGCAGGCAGATATGTGGTGACGTTACTGTCTGAGAAGGATGCCGCTGATTACAAGATCAGAGTGATGGAGCTCACAGCACCACATCGGGTAAGAAAACAGTCTTTTCAATACCTCTGTGCAACCATTCACACAAGCACACACCACATTTCTGCATACAGCACCTGCGGCCCAGATTCTGTCCCTATATGTCATTCTCTTTCAATGCATTTCATACCTTTGCCTTGATAAAACCGTTTGAAGAAAAGAGTATTGTCTCTTTAAAATATGGCCTTTCTGTTATTGACAAACACAGCACAGTTGCATTATGGCTAGATCAAAAAGTCAAAAGGTAAGACCACTTTAGGACTTTAATTTTAGGATTTTGAAAAATTTAAGAACAACAAAAACAAAAAAACTTACAAATTAAGACTTGAGTGCCTAAAAATGGAAATTTATATTCATTTTTAAATGCAGTTTGTATTGAGTTTTTCTTGAACACTAACTCTTACAACTAACAATGTACATTAAAATTATCTGTAACAACTAGGGATGGGAGGATCAATCCTTAAGTATGGATACTTTCAATACTGATGTTGTATCGAAAGGATCGATCCTCACATAAAAATATCGATTCTAAAGTGCATTTTTTTAACCATTAATTTTTATTTATTTATCAAGAAATTCAGTGCATAAAATAAGCTTCTAAGTGGAAAAATAGACTATATTAGCGAATAATTGTGTTGGATAGAACCATTTCTCCTGCTCATCGGAACACACGCAAATGCTGAAAGACAGAACCAATCAATCACAGACAGCGTTCTTTTTTTTTTTTCAAATAAGTGCAGCTTTGGTGAGCATGAGACTTAAAAAATATTACAAAATCTTACTGACCCCAAACTTTTGTGTACATGTAATATTTATTTTAAATTGGCTAGTTTGTGCAAGTAAATTTATTTAAACTGGTTGTTAAAAGTTCTAATGGATTGTGTTCTGTTCTGTAATTGCTGTTAATAAATCTGTCAGAGAAAAAATATGCTAAAGTTTCACCTTTATGGGTACAACAGCCTGGCAGCCTTTTACAAAAAATAACCATGGTTTTATTACAGTAACCACAGTTTACCACAGTATTTGTACTAAAACTGCAGTAACCAGTTTACCATGGTAATAATAATAATAATAATAATAAATTTTAGTACTTATGTAACACCATGTTTATTTTTCATGAGGTACCCTCAAAGGTGCATCTTTGTAACTTATCTACCCTTAAAGCATGCATACTTGTATGGTACTAATATGCTCCCTTTTAGAGGTATAGTTGCACCTTTGAGGTTACTGCCCCAGTAAAGGGCTAAAATACAATTATAGGATATTTTAAACAAATTAAACAAACAAAAAAGGCATATGAAATGTAAAAAAAAACCAAAAAAAAACCGTGGCTTTAAAATCTAATATTAAGTGAGTATAATTTCTGATTATATTCTTTTAATAATTTAAAAGATCAATTTAGTTTATAGGTATCGGTATCGGTATCAATATCGACGATACTCGACTTGAAAATATCAGTATCGGATCGATATCGAAATAAGAGGTATCGCCCATTCCTAGTAACAACATGCCAAACAAATATATATATAGTAAGTAAAACTAAACCAGAAATTCTTTACTTTTCTGATACCAGAAAGAGCCAACTCGCACCATTTGGCACTACCAATATTTGAGCTGGCCTGATCACGGCGTGCCGCAAGAGCCTGGTGGAGTGCTTAGCTTTCTGGAGCAGGTCAACATCAAACAGCACGAACTGTCTTCAACTGGACCCATGATCATCCACTGCAGGTACTTACTCACAAAAGAGCCTCTTATAACTTCATCCCCCGCTTGGGGGCTTCATGAGCATAAGACATGCTATTTCATGCTATTTCAGATGTCCATAAAATATACATCTGAATATTCTTGACATTTTATGGGCAGCATTGAACACTGATGCCGGTTTAAATGCTGCTTATCTTCCATTTTACATCTTTGGGAAAAGCCATAATTCCTCTTTTTGTAGTCTGGTAACTGGTTACTCCAAATTGTTCTAAAAAGTAAAGATCATTTAACATATGCAGTTTTGATTTTATTATTAACAATGAGAACAACAGTGTAGTACATTTCATGTCTTGGCAAGAAATGTAATACACGCTGACAGTCTTAGGCAGGGAGGTTTAAGCAGTTGTCACACGACTCAGCATTTCGTAATCACAGTACATGCTTGAACTTTTCATGATCCCATACTTCCCACTCTAAATCTTTAAATTAATAGTTTGTTTACTCTTTAGTATTAATGTGCTATGGGATATTCAGTGTCTCAAGACCTCTGCAAGCTTGAAGAGATAGCTTCAGTTATTTGTTGCTTAATGTGTTTTGGCAGTGCTGGTATCGGACGAACAGGAACCATTGTGGTGATCGACATGCTTATAGATACCATTGATGCTAAAGGTGAGTTTATATCACTCTGCATTAAGATTTTTTATGTTTTCTTAAGCCATGTCCACACGTACACGGGTATTTATGAGTTTTTCCTTCTTCCGTTTTAAAAAAAATCTCCGTCCACATGAAAACGCAAACCCATGCTATGAAGCACTGTCAAGAGCATGCCAAACCAACAGATGGCGATATAATCTCAAAAGTAAAGCCATGCTGGCCAATCAGAAGTCTGAAAAAGTCTCCAGTAGGCAGCAATAACAGCGCAGGCGCCGACATCACAAGCCAAAAACTCCGGTTTCGCTGTCTACACGATAACACTGCAACCGGAGTTTTTGAAAATCTTCACCCTG